GGTCTTAGGGTTGCGAATGTGAACATAAGCAACATGATCTTGAGACATTGCGTCCGAAGGCAGCACCAGATCACGTCTCAAAAGCGGGATGATTTCAAAAGGGTGCAACATACACAAGAAGCCGATCAAAGTCACAGCAGCCCAATCTGTCCAGCCCCAAACAAGAGCCAGGGTCACAGCGGCCTGGACGATGGGTTGCGAAATGACAGGGCGACATTGCCCAGGCTCGACCGCCTGCCATTTCTTATCGACTTGCCAAGCCGGCGTCAAGCAATTGCGGTATTCGGGGAAAGCATCCTGAACACCAGTGATGGCGTAGACAAGAAGGTACCGCGGAAAGCCTTCGGAGTACAAGTGAAGACCAAACGCGCGCAAGCTGAGCGCTGCAGAGCGCGCTGAAGACGTAGCTTGAGCGTAGCTCAAGTGCAAGTCACTTTCCAACCAGGCCACAAAGGCGTCCAAGGCCTTGCGCATTTTCTGCTTCGTGGAGGCTGCAAAGCCCGCCTCTAGGTCGAGAGCTCCGCGAGGCACAGGAAGAAGCGAAGGGCCGGGGTTGCGCTCTATGTCGCCACCGAGCAACAACAGGAAACGAAGCCATCGCCCTGCAAGTTTCGGCAGGTTTGCCGACGCAACGGCAACGTCGAAACGGAAGGGGTCCCCACTGGTCAGGTCCTCAAGCCAAAAGCGGTGTGGCTTTCGTAAGCGGTGCAACCGCGCGGCTCCGCGATGGTCCATCACTGCGGTTCTTCGCGGAGTAAACGTGGAGCCCGCCAGGGTACAAGCCTCCACCAAGAAGGTAAGGGAGGGTGCCCTGCAGCACTCGGCTCAGCGACGGGCTGCTAGACCTACCCTTTGAAGAGGCACCCAACAAGACACGGCTGTCGATGAGGCCAAGAAGGCGACTGTTCGGATGCCATGAAGCGCAGACCTTCAACCAAGTTTTGTAACACCTAGTTTCAAGAACATTGATGTGCCCAGACTTCTTAAACCGGTACCTAAGGACCTCCCGAAAAGGTAAAGAATCGCTCAGCTCCCCGATCCACTCAGGGTCGTCGTGGAAACGACGAGATTCACAAACCGTATCACTTAAGGAGGGAAGAGGGCCTAGCCGACCTAAACTTAGGGTCTGGAGTGTTGCATACTTGGCGGAAGCCGGTAGTGGCGGAGCGACCCCATCGCGAGCCCAAGCACTGCCTGAGGCTATGCGTTGTAACAGCACTGCAGGAGCCCTTTGGGCAAAGCTGGACACGGAGTCGCCGATTCCAGGCGTGTCGTCAAAGACAGCCGCACACGAAGGCGAGCACTGAGCTTCAAATTCAGCCAAGCTGGCGCGGGTGAACTTGCCTTGCACTCTGAAGTGACGGTGGCCTTTAGGGCAAGAGCAGGGGCACCCTAGCTCCAAAAGCCAACCCTTGTTGTGAAGGACCTGAAGCGGCTTCTTAAACGGGGCACCAAAAGCGCAAACGCAGAGCCTCGTGAGAACAGCTCCCAGGTGCGCGAGTCGCACGAAGCAGTCCATGTAAAACATGACACTCGAACCCGGCTGCTCAACCGAAAAGTAGCCTCCTCCAAGCGCCACAAGGCAAAGCAAGAAAGCAGTTCGCCGGGCTAGCCGGTTCTCCGAACAGGAAGCACTCAGACGCCCCGGTACACCTGAAGGCCAAAGGCGAGAGCGCACGCGAGGTTTGCGAAGCGTTTGAAAGGAAAATGCGGGAGGTGCTGTGCTGCATGCCAATCACCAGCGACCCTCCGAAGCGCCAAAGAGCGGACCTCGTGAAAGATGTCATCCTGCCCCAGGTCCTCGAAACGGAGAGGCCGGAGAACCGAATCGGCCCCAACACGAAACCCCGGATGCACGCGGAGGCCACAAGCGAGGTGCGCTGCAGACCAACGGTCCGTTCAAGAAAACATCTCCAGCACGTCGTAGAGAACACCTTCAGTTAGCGAACGCCCCACGGGCATCAAGCAAGAGGGGGAGAGCACATCAGTGTGCCCAAAGGCGGCTTCAGACTCCAAGCCCAACCCCTCAAGGCAAGCGGCAGGAGGACTGCTAAGCCGAGTGTAAAAACCCCGCTGCTCCGAAAACCTCCAAAGCTCTTTGACGACATTCGCCGGCAAATCGGCCTCGACAATGCCGGTGCCATCAGGACTGGCGTCCATGGCAAACAACTTCGCCACATAGTCAACTCGAATGTCAGTTTGCAGAACAGGCCCGAGCACCGACAAAGCCAACAGCTCATTCACAGAATCGCGGCTCAGCGCGAAAACCTCGTCTGGGGGCTCGTGCCTGGCATCTTGGAAATGTGCTAGAGCGAGGTGCAGGAAATCTATAAGTGACTTGTTGTGAGGGTTTCATGCAGTTGGCAACAAACCGAAGCACATTATAATGCGAATGCTGTGCAAACTCTACAGCCATACTGTCACCCATGGCTAAGGCCCTAAGAGAGACATAGTAAAAGTCACTAGGGTTCGCACTGGAGTATGCCGCAAAATGCGCAACTTCCTTGGCACTGAACTTGATCCGCAAACAATTTCTCCGGGCTCTGGACAACGGAACCTCGAACGTGTAATACATCTCGCTCAGGTCATCGGCACAAAAGCGAAGCACAGAATCTGCATCGGGTATGTGGGCGAGGGTCAGCATAAACCCGGGTGCAAGCGACTTAGTGAAGTTGGAGTGGGAACGGGAACGAGAGTTCACTACACTAGGATTCACTATGAACCGATCCCAATCCAAGTCCTTAGGAACACTAAAGCACCCACAAGCTTCACTATCATCAACCTCCGAACAAGGAGCCAAGGCGAGAGCCTGATGTTCGTCCCACTTCCCAGCGAGCCGCAGAATCTCGCTCCGGGTTGCATGAACCTGTGCAGCAGGGAGCTTGGGCCACGTGTGCGGTGCAGAGCGAAGGGCGTCAGGATTCAAGTACACGGCACGGGCAACTGGATCCGTGAGGTAAGGAATCGGATTAAAAGATGGAGGCAAGGTCCACTTGATGCGATCAGCAACCACCTCCTTACACGTGAGCCCCGCAGGAACCTTACACGATCCGAAAGTTTGTTGAGGCCCCGAGTCAGACTCGAAAGGTTGGGCAGCGGGTCTCCTATCACAGGGCCGAGGCCTTCGAGAGTAAGAGTCCCAACCGGCATGCAAATCATCAACGATCCGTGCTAGAGAGGCATCAGCTGCAACAGGATCCGCATCATCCCAGTTAGTTTACTAGATACTGTAAAACATACAGACTGGCTTGAATCCTGGTTTCCGCAAGTAGACGCGGTGCGATGCATAAAACAGTCGCGCGATGCATGACCAAGCCACCCCTTGTAGAAGCTCGACCTTCGCTGGCTCGGTCTGAAGGAGGCGCGCTGTCTGGCGTGATGTATTCCCCAAGGGCCGGGTCGCCCACCGCTTTGCCTATCCACACTTCGGCTGCATCTGCCATCGGCCTACGTATCGGCCGAACAGTTGTACCATTGTGTGTCATAGGCACCAGTTCTGGAGTAGCAGCTCGGCCCGACAAGACCTTCCGGAAATACCCTAGATACCTCCAAGGGAAGTCTGCCAGGAACATGGCCACATCGCCAACCGGTCGTCGACGTGGCGAACCGCCACCGTCGTTGCCCTGTAACACACAGCTTGGTCCTCGGCTTCCGAAAGCTGTTGCAGATGGTCTTGCACCCGAGTGTCCGAAGGAAGAGCCGCTAAGAAGCCTCCGGCCCGAACTCGCACAACAAATGCAGTCGCTCGCCATGTTGGCCCTCGGTTACATGGCGGCCGGCCATGACTGATCGGCAGCCTCGCAGTAAAGCACGGCCTCCGTTCTCGATGGAAAGCCGTGGCTCACTGAACCCGCCTCTGGTCTGTCGCCCGACGTGTCAAAACACAGCGAGCGATATGTAGAAAAGCAGTCGGTGAATCCCCGAGGCACACGATGGCAGAGCAGGCAAACGTAAAGCCTGCTCCGAAGCCTCAGCTCCGGTGTCTTTGGAACGTAGTCCCGCTCCTCTCGCAGCACTCGGCCGGCACGGAAGCCGGCTTGCAAAGCACGGCCCACCCGCGCTTTCGCAGACCAAGCCCCTGCACTCCGAAGGCTCCGAGCTTGCTCGGCAAAGATGCCGAGGTCCACTTGATCGAAGTCCTCTGGCGTAGCACAATTCCCAGTCGAGCCTCGAGATCGGAAGGCTCCGAAGGGGCAGCGGCGCTGCCTGCAAGTGGTCCGGAATCGGCCCGGGCGCCTGAGTCTTCTCCTCCCACAACCTCGAAGGACCGTCCCTTGCAATGTCAATGGTAAGCCCGGCCAGTCTGATAGTCAAACGTTCCAGCTCACCACTGCCAAGGCTCATTCACGGTATTCCCGAAACCTTGAAAGGGCTGCAGAAGCAGCCGCGGGAGCTCTGTTCGGACTTTCCAAACCAGTGGCCAACAGCCTCAAAAAGAAGCCGGCAGCCCGTCGGCAATGATTGGAGAGGATCAAGGCAGCCACCAAAGCCCCGCAGCAGAAGCCTATGCAGCAGGTAGTAAGGCAGAGCAAGCACACGACCGCGGGCCCAATGGCAGCAGGTGCAGGCTGATAGAACCTGAACTCCCTAATGAGTTCCAGGAACCAAGGGCCCCACATTTGAGCCCGAAAGCTGATCTTGAAACAACCGATTCGGCAGCTGATCGAGTATATTGGCAGACCCTCGTAAAACCATGCAAGCCAAAATCTCCAAGCCCTACAACCCTGTAAGCCCTCATCCCTAAACCCTCAAACCCTGCAAGCCCGAGGCGTCTGCCCGACAGCTGCAAAAAACACTGTGAGGGTCCTCGCTCGGCTTGAGCAACCTCGTAAGAAGTAGTGCAAGCCCTAATCCCTGGACCCTAAAACCGCAAGCCTAAAAACCAAGCCCTCTTGCAACAGGCTTCGCACTTCGCCCGGATTCGTGTTCCACATGAGCTACCAAGCCCCAATCCCTAAACCCCAAAACCCTGCAACCTGCAAGCCCTAATCCCTAAAGTCCTCTCGTCGCGCCACGTGTTCTTGTTGCCGGTCTGCTAGCCGCTGCTGGGCCTTCTCACGGTGCCGCACCTGGGAGAGTAACGAAGCTTCATATACTGTCATGTGATATGATGTAGCATAAGAATATATAATACAGTGTGTTAGAATATGATTAGTATATAGTACGGTATTATGTTTCGGGTCTTCTCTCCCACATCGCAAGCCACAGCAAGCACGGCTTGAGTTTGGGGTGTGTAGGGCTCATGACTGCTCCTTCCTGCTTTTGCACTTCCGTCTCCCCCTCAGCACGGCACTTTTGCGGAACCGTCCATGCGAAGCAGCCGGAAGGCCTGGCAAAGAGGGGGAAAAGAAGGCACTGGCAATCGCTCCCCAAGCTGAACCGCAGGCCGCGGTCCTCTCCGAGCATGCTGCTTTTGATATCCTCGTCCAATGCTGTTGGTGTGGAGAGGGATGGTGCTGAGTTCACCTCCAGCAGATAAAGCCTGGCAGATGGGCTTCGAGCTCTTTGTACCCACATCCCGATCCGTGCGGGCCTCTCATCTTCGTCCAGGATGAAATCGAACCCAAGAATTTCGAAGCACGCCTGCGCAAATTTCCCGGCTAGACATTAATTGGAGCTATGAGGCCGGGACAGTTGAGGTAGTTGCTTGTTGACGACAAGCGAGGACAACTTAAAACCTAAAGATCGCGCAGGCACGAATCCATTAATCCGTCTGCCAGCATAATCAGACGAAAAACGCAAGTCAATCACTCTCTGCCAGAATCGCGTCAAGCTGCGCTTCTGCAGCCAGATCCCTCCTCGAAACACGGGCGAGTGCGCCCGAAGTAGCTGTGATAGTTCTCCTGCGAGGCATCTGGCTTGCCAATGGGGTCGTGATCGAACAAGCACAAATCAAACTGGGCTTCGGCCTGCATTTTCGGGCCAATGGCCAAGAGCGTCTTGCGAATGCACGTCGCGATCTCCGTCCAAACGGCTTGACCTTATCAGCATGAACCCCCCCCTGCTGAACTCCTAAAGGAACCTGCAAAGAAACCCCGCATGCATTCTCTGTGAAACTCACACTCCACCAAAGCGGACTGTCCAGCAGGTCTAAGCATGGGACCATCCGCCACACAGCTGTCCAGCACAGTTCGCAATGAACGCTTGCTGCCCGTAGCCCCATCTTCTGTGTCTTCCTTGCTGGGGCTGCAAGCTGGGAGAGCCCAAGTGGTGAAATGCACTAGATTCACTAGATGCCTTACAGTGTCTTTTGCATGGAGGTCTTTGCAACTGAGGTCTGGTCAAACGCATCACTCTCGTAATTGATCGAAAAGTTGGTCAGGTGCATCTCACGATCGCTCAGGTTGTCAGAAGCTGGCGGTTCATATGGATCTGTACAAAAACGTGCCAAGCCGTCGGTGTACAGGTAAACCGTGAGTGGGTGGACGCTTGTGACGAGGACATACACGCGCATGTCCCACTTGTAGCCGTCAATCAGCATAGGCCTGCTCAAGAATTTCTGGACGACGAACTTGCTTCTCGGCTCCATTACCTCGGGAGGGTTGAGCTGAGGCATCTACGCGGTTACTTCTACACTGAACCCCTCAACACATCTCGCAGCTTCTTGGGCATCACCCTGGCGTTCTCACTTTCACGTCCCATGTGCTCTTGATGCCACTGCCTGCAGTTTGTCTCGAACTAGATACGGAGCTCGGGCTTGTCCTTTCTCCTCTTGCAGCTGCAGCTACACGTCGCAGAGCATCGCTGGATGCGCCACCACGCACATCAGCGGCTCGGACCTGGATGGATTCAGGGACCCGTTGCACCACAGAGTCCTACCGAAAGCCATTCCCCTGCAGTAGCCTGGAAGAGAAAAATGCCGACACCGCGGGCACCAGACCGTGGCTTTGCAATGAACGTCAAGGCCCCCTCCTTGCCACCATTTCGGGCTTGGACTCTCTCAACTCCTATAGGGTTTAGGGCTTACTTTGGGGTTCAGTAGTAAGGGCTCAGGGACATTTCCGGAAGAAACGGTCTCAGAGTCCGCCGCTTCGCCACCCTGTGGCCCAGGTCTTCCAGAACTAACCTACACCCCGGCTTTGCCTTCAAACCTTCCAAACATATGCTGCGCATCCTCGTCATCAGAGTCGTCGGAGCTAGTCGCGTCAGCGGATGTACCTCTCTTTCCGAACAAGGTTCGTCCGGGAGTGTGAGATAAGAGGAGACCCTAAGGGGGGCCCCAAGACTAACAGCATTGTATCATATTGTATCCAGAGAAGTGCTTCACAACTTTACAACCCTCTTACTCCAACCCACGATTTGCTTTCTCTCTGCAGGACAAGGCAGAAGCGTCTGCGACCCTGGCCGCATGATTTGCACTCCACGACGCACGCACTCCCTGTCCTCCCGGTCCCCACCTCTTCGTTTTTTGTGGACGGTTCCGTCCCTCCCAATCCCGATCCCTCTGCCCCGGCCTGCCCATGCCCAGATCCACTCCCCTCGCAATGCTGCTTCTAGAACCAGTCTAGCGGCCACTTCCAGCAACTCGTTGAGAGCTTCAGGATTCTAAGGTGTGCTTATTCTATCCGAGCCCGCATCGTGGACGAGCCAAACGAGCGCAAAGCTTTAGTCTTTACCGGGCTGCAGGAACCTCGGACTTCGTCTGCAAGCTTGGGGAAACCCGACACACATCACACACATGGGTAGCTGCGGGTAGCGCTGCGAAGGCATGCAATCCACACACTCTCTGTCTCTGTGCCTCGAGACCAGGCTCGCTTCTTCCCTGCGCTTCGGGCTCGGTCAACCCGTATATCGTCCTGCAATCCACACTTAAAATGAGACAGAAGCGAGAGAGATCAATTCTTCTGAGCATCCACCAGAGAGACAGAGAGATGACCAGCACTACTCAGGCCCCATCTACGTCACAGTATCCACAGCTCCACAGCCTGTGAGGTGCCAAAGCTCTGGCGAACATCGGCCCAAAAGCGCTGGAAGTCGCCTGGCGCCGTCGTGAGATCTATTGCAACATCTTCTATGATGTTTCTAATTGTCTTCTATATTTTGCAATCTATATATATATATAGATAGATTTACTGTACATATCTACGGATTACAAAAAATATGTGTGTATATATATATATATATATACATGTATGTATTTTGAACCCCTCCCGTCGGTTTAGCCCCAGACAGGCAGATGCCACTCCGCGGGTCTCGTGCCACTTCGGGGATGGACGTGAATGTTTTACCAGGGGAGTTTTCGGGGTGCGAGCCCGAACGAATGGCTTCTGCCTGGCAACACCCATGTCTGCGGAACGAAGCCTCGGATTTGAAGCGGAAGCCATGCACACATGACTCACTGAAAGCATGCTGCATCTTACCAAGGATATTGCTGGGCCAAGTTGCGGAACCCCTCGGTCCCGAAGCGTGGACAGCACTGAGGCATTGCTTGGAGATGCTGTGCGAGCATGTCTTTGCGGCAGATAAGCTGCATCAACCTGTCAAAGGGGATCACTGGTCAATATCTACACTATAAATTATGATTAGTACGGGAGCCTTGTCACGAAACCTTTTCCATCCAAGTAGACCACTTTCGGGTCTCTCGTACTAAGCTTAGACCCAGGCACGGGAAATGATTCATGCATTGGAAGGGCTCCATACGGAAGACGCTGTTGAAGACCACCGCCGGGCTGTCGGACCATGCCACATCCCAGGTGTCATCACCTTGAACAATCACAGGAGCAGAAGAGGCATTACTTCGGGTTCAGGCTTCAGGCTTAAGCATCCACTTTGCACTCAAGTCGTGTAAGTGCGGGCACCTTTACTGCATCGTCGCCAGCCAGCCTTTCGCGCACTCTCCTTGACCTGGGCTGCAACTGCTCCCGTCACATGCGCTGAGGTTTGCCAAACAAGAAACAAAATTTGTGGCGAAGCCAACATTCGAGGATTCGAAAGTGTGGACGACCACAGTACACCCCGGTGACACGAGTGACCACAGCGATGCTCGGCACGTCTCGGGCTAACCACTTTTCAAGCAGAGTCCCCATAGTCCGGAACACGCGTTTGGGTGGCAAAAAATCATCAACGCCAGCACCGATGTCACACACGTTGCTCAAAGCAATGCTAGGGCTCAACCTTCCTTCTTACTAAAACCGGTAATCGAACAGTTAGGGCTTAGGTCCAGAATTTCACAGGTGAGAAACCTGACTAAAGCAGGAAGAGTCGCGCAGTCGGCTCTGCACCGAACAAACTTGATAGTGACTCGGTTGCGCTTCTTGCCCATGGCAGTATGTAGAGTACTAAAGCATCCTTGAGCCGCGAAGGCAGGTAAACAAACCGCTTCAAAGAGCAGTGCGGTTCAGGACAGTGCCGCCAGAGTTGCGACACAGCAAGTCTGCGGCATGGAGCAGGGGCCAGGGCGAGATTTGTCAATCGGCAGCACCTGAATCTGCCTGGCTTAGAATCTTTGGCTGCCTACGGCACGCAAAAGACATCGAGGAAATCAGCCGAGAGCACATATGGTTTGCCGCTGATGTGCCCATCGGTATCCATCTTTCCCATATCCTTGGGCTCTCAAAGAGTGGTGAATTATCCATCTGAGCGGGTCTGCGGACGCCGTCCCACAGAGGCAGAGAAAGCTAAATGTCCCGATGCCAGATTCCACATCAAGCCCATGGCTTCGCTTATACGTGACGATCTGCAAAAAGCAGAGCTCTGAGATCCTGTCAAGCACTCCTGACCTGCAAACAGGGGATCGAAGCTACAGCTCTTTGTGGGTGGCGTTTAAGATTGATGGCCTTATCTTCATCCTTAACCCTGTCTTTCGTCCTCCTGTTTTATGCCCACAGTTGCGAGCTCGCTTTAGAGGATCCGCTTTGCGTTTCAGCGTCTGCAGGAGAGGCATGTCCACAGCAGTCAGTTTCGGTTGAGGTAACCCTAGAAACCTTTTCTTCAACACAAAGCAAAGGGACCCACAGCAAGTCACCCACGCAGGTCACGGAAGATATGACTCTCTTCTTAGATGTGAAAGACGACCAGCTCCAGGTCAGGCCTGCCATCCTTACTACTCAGTCGGAACTCACAGGGAAGGGTGAATGGTTTGGGATCCATTTCATTCCTTCCACACAAAATCGGCTCTTGGCATTCATGCAACTAACCAGCATCCGCTACATCTGCATCTACAGACAGCTCTAGTGTGGGAGCAAGGACCGGGCATTCTGATTCACCCTGCCAGCAAGCAAGAGACTTACCACGGCGACACGAACAACACACACCACAAATGAAACCAGGAAAAAAAAATGGGGTAGGAAAGTGTGGAAAAGGCGGACATGGCATCCACATCGCCCGGCTATGTGAAAGGCTGCGCACAGGCACTGTCCAATAAGTTCCATTCAGACACAGATCTACCAAGCTAACCTCCCGTCTCACACAACCCAGTGACAAGCTAGTGTAAGCAGATGCCTCTTCTCGCGTGCTGAACACAGGGAGACCATCCAAAGAAAGCTCTGGCTGCCCAAAAAACTTGAAGCAGCCGGTGCTGGTAGGAGAGCCATGCGATCTTCGCGTATTTGCGAGCAAGTTCGTCCCGAATGTGCGGCACAGAACTATGCAGAAGGGCCGTGCGCGACGCAGAACGGTCGATGCTCAGCCTCGAGCCCGACACGCTGAAAGCGCTTGCTTGGCCAGGGTGTCAGGGCAACCCCCGAAAAAGCGATGGCACACGCACGAAACCAGATGAACATGCAAAAGCAGGTGACAAACTGGAGAACAAGCACAGCATCGGAGAGCCCAAGCAACCGCCCATTCAGCGAAGCCACATGCGGGCCAGGGTCAGCGTAGAAAGCAGAAGCATCCAGAAGACGCGGTTTTGAGCAGGCGCCTGCATCCGCGAACATCTTCTGCAGGGCGGCCATCTGCACCTCCGAAACCACGCAGAGGTCCGAATGGGCTGACGGGCGCGTCGCGGCACGTCTCCTGAGCGTCCCCGCCTTCAAGGCCTTCTGCAAATCCGGCGGACAAGCTGCGAAGCAAGGCCTCGGCTGAACTCCAGAGAAAAGGGGCATGGCATGGCTAAGGCTACCGAGGCGGGAGCGCATGCTTCACAGGCAAGACCTGGCACAGGACCACAGGGATTTGCGGAAGCAAAGCAACTGCGTCGCGGGACCTGCACATGGTACGGGTTCACCGGACCTCGCCTGCACAGAACAGCTGGCGTCAAGGATCGGCTTCTGATCAAAGTGCTTGCTGATGCTGAGTTCAAGACGCAGTGGCTATGTACACTTCTGTGCTAGCAGAGACAATCATGTGCTTCTCCACCTCGCAGCAACAGCAGAATCGCTTGGGTAAGGAAGGGTCACGGGGAGATGCCCACCTTGGGATTCACAAGGCAGAACCAACCTGGCACTTCGGGGTCTTGGCGTTTGTGTGCAATCAAGTCACGGGCTGGTTCAACAAGCCGAGCCCACAGTCGGCGTGAGGCTCCACGACCTTGGCCAACGCGGGCCACTTGCTTTCTGCCAGGAGCTACCGAAACACACCGCCTGTGCAGGCGCAAGCCTGCCTTCTTCGTGAGACAGGGCAAGTGATGCCGCTGAGAATATCCAACACTTGGGAGCTGCACAAACAGGCTCTCGCTTACTTGCTTCAACAGGATGTGAGTCAAGCTCTCAGCCCTGCACAGGGCACAGGCATACCCAACAGTTTTTCTGGGATTCACTCACAAGTCAATCTCCGCTCTCTTTCCACAATGAAACAGATTTTATTCCTGGTGCTGTTATGAACCCGCAGAGTCCTAAACCCTTCACAACCCCAACCCTGAGGCATGGACTGGACCCTAACAACCCAGCCCTAAACCCTAAACCCTAAACTCAGCTTGTGCTACTGACTCGGTTGTTGAGTGTATGTCTTGGGCATTGCTCATAGTTAGTTGAGATCCTGTGGACTATGCCTTGCCTGCCTTGTGCGAGTGTGAGCGTCGAAACCCTAAACTCACAGGGCCTACACCCACAGGCAGGAGACACGAGACGGCCTGAGGCAGCAACAATTTGGATTTCCCTCTTCTTCCTGGCACATCGCACTGGGCATCAACAAACTTACCTTTGGTTAGTAGGGAATGGAGGAATGGGGTACAATTCTAACTATTATTACTACCATTCTTCCATTCCGAACTAACCAAAGTCAAGCAAAGAGCCGCGGAAGACTACGCGACAGACCTGGGCCCGTCGGACTTCTTCGTGGGCCGACCTGGCCATGTCCAGTTGCTCACATCCACAAAACATATTGCATTCGTACTATTGTGACTATTATACTATTGCTATTACTATTACTATTTGTATAATTATTGTTGTGTTGCCTCAAAGTGTCAGTGTAGGTTTCCATGTTTCAAGATATCATGTCGCATTACATCATACTATATTGCAGGGAAGATCCATCCGGTGTCTGCCAGCCCTACTTGGTGCTCCACAGGCCAGCGGGTCTTATGGAGATGGTGATCTTCCGGCCACCGCACTCCAGCAGCTCGCTCAGGTCGCAAGCCGCCTCGGATGCACAGCAACACGCCAAGACTATACGAACATGACTATGATATACCATATCATACGACATGATCCTATCTACTCCTACCCTATACGATATAATCCTATCTAATCCTTTCTCTAGCTCTTATGGATCCTGTGGACAAGGCTTGGGGTCCTGTGGAAAGCTGGGCTCCCAGCGTCAGCCTCCTCGGGAGTCGAGAAGGTCACGAAACCTTGGCACATTCTGGTATTTGATGGCATCGTTTATTCGAACATAATATATTCTCACATAAAGATGAAACGCCATGTCTTAGAATCCAAAAGGTGTTAATATATTACACTATACAGTATGCATACACACACATATATATATAGCATTGTTTTGGGAAGATAGCATGACATGCTACAGTATAAAACATCTAGTCTATTATGATACATGTGTTCTTTTCAGTGTGAGGGTTTGGCTATGGATTTGGGGTCCAGGGAGTTTAGAGGCCGCTCCGTGAGGCAAGCAGATCCACGGGGCCACAAGAAGTAAGTGTCGAGCCAAACCCCTTGCAGGCGCTGCCCTCACCTCAGCCGGCAAGCTGCCATCCCGGCTCGTCGAAAACAGATCTGACCGCCTTGCAGCAGAACCGACACGGGGGGCAAGCCTGCTTCCCGGACGAGGTGGATGCGTTCGATCTTGCCCACATGCTTTAGGGCAGCCTACCCGATCATCAACAGGTGTTTCCTCGCTGTTTTGTGAAGAGGCCGCCTGGATCGCTGTTCGGAGCTATGTTAACAACAGGCACCTCGATGCGCTTCTCCTCGATGTTTGCAGGCAGCCTGCCTCGGTACGGTTTACACTGTTTACACTCTCACAACTCGGACTTGCCAGTTGAGGTCTCTCGGTGCACAGTCAGTACGGTTTAGGATTTGCAAGGTTCAGGGCTTCGATGGGCTTCGGGTACTTGTCCGACTCATGGTGCTCGGATCTGCACCCAGAAAGACCGTGTCCGGCTCCGGTGGTGGGAGACCATCATCCTCCGGTTTGCTTGCGGCGCTGAATGCGACAAAGCCTCTAGCTTCAAACGTGATTTCACGGAAGATTATGACTGGTATACGTTTTCTTGGTCGTCCATCCACTACTGCAAATATTCAAACCTATGGCTATGGCTAGTATGATTGTCATCAGTCAGGTGTTTTCTCAGAACTTGTATGTGGGGTATTTTTATGAACATCGCTATGCAGCTCTTACTGCGGTATGTATCATGAGCATTGCTGTGGCATCTATGGATGTATGTCTGTATATCTACACATACATACACACGACACATGTTGGACTGTTGCTACAAGACAACTACCACGAATGAAACCAGCTACTGCCATGCTCTGGGCGACGGAACAACACAAGAGTTTCATGGTGGCCCCATGTCCCTGGACCCCAGCAAGGAGCCGTTCCTCCATCGTGGCCGCATCACGCTTGACACCCCGCTCCTCTTCGCCCTGCTCTTCACCTTACCACCGAAAACGGATCCAACAGCTCAAGCGCTCAGCCTCTCAGGCCAGCGCTTGCAACCACGAAGGGGCTGGGCCTGTTGGACAGAATACAACGGCAGAAGCATACTCCCTCGGCAGCGCTGGGCGGCTGGCGTTGTGTTTGCTGGCCGCTGCTTAAGGGCCTCTTTTCACTCTGTGACTCTATGAGACCGGCGAAAGCACATCACGAGCAACTGGAGGGGAGCGTGCCGTTTCCGGCATGGTGGCAGCTGGGCTCAGAGACAAGCCTTAGTCGCAGGAACGCTAGCAAGCGGCCATCGGCGGCCCAAGCCCCTCCCCAGAGGCTGTTGCCGTGGAAGGCCGTGCGGGCCTTACCCTTTGATGAAACCTGCACGACTGCCCACGATTGGGAGACAGATCCGACAATGAAAGTCAGCAGTTGCGCACCTTGCCCAGCGCGATGCACCGACAGACGTGCCCTGCTTTGGGGGTCTGAAACGGCCTCGGCCGTCCCAGTCGTACACAAGATGAACACCTTGCGTCTGAGCGCGGAACGGGCGCTGGTAAAAGATGTCCATGCTTCCACACACCAGATATCTGGCGCGAGCATTTCGGCAGGATGTCATGAGTTGGCCATAGACTTGCAGACTGAAGAAGCACCCCATGCCATGAATCGGCTCAGCCCTAAATTTCCAGGCGGCCTCGGTTCAAGCCTCAGCGCACTGAACGAAATCACAGGTGATGTTTGTCCGGCATCTCTGCATAGATCGAACAGTACTGACGAGGAGTGTTCGAGTCTGTGAGCTTCTGAGATGCACATCAAGGATACGGTGTCTTTCTGCTTCAACCGTCAAGGCCACCATCAAGCTCCATTCAAGAAGAGGCCGACGTGTGTTGCGAACATCACGCCAAAGGTTTCTGCTCCTGTCTTCTGCTGCTAGATACAAGGCTGACAACGACTGTGACTTCTATGGCACATGGCTACTACGTCCACTACATCGACTACAGGAGCTATTACTACCCTACGACACTGCGACTAATTCGTTGCTCATTCACGCCACAACCATCAGCAGCACCAGTATTGCCACCACCCAGGATCACAAGCTGGGGTCTGTGTCTGGCTACAACTGTTGATATTGAACAGCTTCGTGTTGTGTTTGTTTTAGCTTTGCGTTGTCTTTCCCATGATGTGTTGCTGGTGGCGACGCAAGTAATGTAAGCATGGAGTCGGAGATGATGATAGTCATGATGATGGTGAAGAGGAGGATGACCATCATGATCCTGATGGCTACTGTTTCGAGGGCGATAGTGTGACATGATGGCGCTTGGTGATGGTGGTCAGGGTGATGATGGTGATGGGTGAAGGAGCGTTTACGACGACGTTGTGCCAATGGATCCGCTCTCGACACCTGGACTTGTGGCAACAAGTCGCATCGCGGGGATGTGCAAGCAAAGGGGGTACTTGGGGCTGGTCTAGAGAGCACGGTTCAAACCAAGCTTTGCAACGGTTTACTGGGTTCCAAGCAAAGAACCTTGCCTTCAGCACCAACCATCCCACACGCGACACTTCTGCCTATCCCTGCTGACCTTTCGGCCCCCTAAAAGCCTGCTACTGTGCGGCTGCTTTTTCCTGGGCAGTGCAGAGCGTACGCTGAACCAAGAAGACTAAGAACAACTGCACCTCCAAAACCCAAAGACGCTTGCCCGCCTCCACTCGCCTGCCCAAGAGATCTGTGAAACGGCGAATTCAGAGCCAGCAATGATGCCGGCAAAGGTCTGGGTGTCATTAACTCGTGGGCACAAATAGTTCAGCCTCCCGTCGGTTTGGGCACTGGCCGCGGCACCATGAAGGATTTGCTCCTTGGCCGCGTTGGCCTCAGCCAGACGTGGGAGAGTTTCCTCAGTGGCTCAGACCTCAGCACTTGGAAAGACCCATGCACGGCCCAGCAACCCCCAGCACGGCCTAGTACCCACAGTTCGCTCTACTGATTCAAGTGGAAAGAGGACACCATTCAGTCAGAGCAGCAAGGAAGAGGACCGTCGCAAAGGGTGTGTCTCCTCTGTGTGCGCGGAGGGGCTGGGTATTGCTGCCGGCAGCGACCCAAGAACACCAGCCCCACCCTGCTGTGCATCTTGGCCCGGCCTGTCGAAATCCTCAGCAAAAGGGGGCACTGGCGGCACTGGAAGTGCACCCAGTGTACCATGACATGCCTCGCTTGGCGAGCCCAACGGTCGAATGAATGTCCGCTGCAACAAAGCATCCGTCTTGGCATGCCCCTCGTACACTGCATGCTGCTTTGCATGCTCCTGAACGGCCTCTCTGTACTGACAGGTCTCGGTCGGAGAAGGGACTGGGGCACTGTTCTGCAGTTTGACTTTCAGGTTCGAAATTGCACGTAGCCAGAGCTTGCGCTCGCCCAGGCTCCTGGCGGAGAACTGATGGTCCTCGACTGAGAAACAGCTGCAATTGATCCCAATCTTCTCACAGCAGATGGAGCGGTCGGTCACGAAGATTTCTGCAAGCTTCTGCCGACAGCTTTCATTCTCGTACAAGATGATTTTGGTGTGGTCCTGCTGTGTCTGCACATGCAACTCACAGTAGAGGACCGATGCTGTAAAGCAGTCATCAAAATGCACCAGGTATCCAGCCATCAAGCGCGAGTGGGTAGAAGGGACTGCGTCCAAAGGACGACAGGAGATTTGGAAGGGAGGGAAGAGCGTCTGGGTAACCAGGCGCATAGCTCGGGAAATGTCAAGCACCCAGCGGGATCGAAGTTCCTCTGCTTCCCGCTCATTCTCACCGCGAACTCCAAAGTAATAGCAGGCTCCTTGGGCAAACAAGGACACCTTGAATATTTTGAAGTCAGCCACATTGAGCATCGGATAAGTACTTTGGAACTTGCAGTTGCGCACAAGTGTGAAAGGGGATAAGGATATGGCCATTTCTGCACCGTCCAAGTAGAACCTAAATCCGTTGATGTGCAAGGAGACGTGCACAGGATCTACCCTTTCCTCGGTGGACAAGTGCCATAAGTCACCCTCTCGAATGGGCGCACCTCTGAGAGGCTGGTCCGCCAAGAGCGAGTAGGACAAACGCCCTTGAATTGGGTAGTTGTAGGAGATCACGTGGGTCTCAGGCTCTGGTTCTGGTTTCCGGGGCCCATGTGCGACCACTTCCCCTGCGCGCTCGAGCTGCTCGTTCAGCCGGCTGGATCCACAAATGCAGCGACAAAGTGCCTGGGAGGTCATGTTCGACCATCTCTGCAACTGCCCTGCTGCTCCAGCTAGAAAAGTGTGTCGGTATCAAGGCTTCATTCTACCACCCTTCCTTTCTTCCAAGATCTCGTATGCTTTCTTGTGCATCTCTAGATGTCGCAAGCTGGTGCTCCTGCTTCAGTCTACCTTGCAAGCCATTCCTGGGCCAAACAGCCACTCCAGACCACGCATCTCCGTGCAATCGAACGAAACTGTTGATTTCAGGCGTTGCTGCTGGGGAAAACATTCACCGGAAGCCTGGTCAAGTTGTCTAAGCCTACATAAGCACGCACCGGCTTCGCTGGCTCAGGAGCACACGCTGCACAAAGCTCCGTGACGGCAGGAGAGCCCACCTGCAATTTCAACCGGCAGGATCCAATCTAACTCAAACTCCGTGACCTGGTCTCTAAAGTCTGCTCGACTCTAGTTTTCTGCAATATATTCAAAGACCTGCTCCATGGCATCGAGAATCCAGTGAGTCTTGCCGGGACATGGGAAGATCGCTGCCGCAAGCGTGGTGCTTTCGCTGCGCTCCCACTTGGCTTGCTGCCGGAATTGAATATCAGAAACTTTGGGGACGAATCAGCTGGATCGAAAGAGGCTTGAGTTGCTTGTCCGGGTTTTGAAACACTCACAGCCAAGCAAAGGCTCGCCAACCTACCTTTCCCAAGTATGCTTAGTCGAGGATATGCTGTGAGGAGTCGAGACTATCGGTGGAAATGCTTTTTCTCAGAGCTCATGGCTCATGGCCAGAAGCCCCTGCACAAGCCCGTGCCTGGTCCCATGCCATCGCTTGGCCTCGGAACGGAAGTGTCAGAGTCCCATATAATAGGTATTATGTACATGTGTATATATATATATGTATGTACATTCATATGTGTGAATGCAGATACAGATATAGATTTTGATACGGATTTTTTCTGCCAGTTCTACCACGGGAGATCTTGGTGCCTTTCAACCCCACTTGAGAGTGCATTCAACCACTAGACCAGGGTGCAGGGGTTTGAGTCGAGATTTCGACTCGCACACTCGCTCAGTACAGGCACGGCTTCATGAGGTCAGGTTGCTACCATCACATCAGCAGGCAGAGCAAACTCGGCTATAAGACTGAACTAAAATAACCGTAAAGAACGAAACCAATAACCGAGAAAGGTACCACGAGTGCTCACCGGCTGGATACTACAAGTAGTCATATCCAAACTAAGCATGAGAGGTATCGCCACAGTGCGGTAGGTTCAACCATAAAGTCCAGAGTCTAGATATCAAATACCCCACATAAACCAGCTACTTGCATGTAGTCAGCCGTAACGGAGCTGTCGAACTAACTAGCAGCAGCTGGTTCAAAAGACGCTTTCCACAGGAGGACATGGTCTAGAATAGAGGTGTGCTACACCAGCGCCATACAAAGTCCGTGACACTGCACCATCAGATGAAGAACTCATGCTCTTCACAAGGCCGGCTCTGTCGCACCATTGAGGCACTTACCCAGAAGACACACAGCAAGAGTGTTCCACCAAGCAGTTGCCCAAAAATCAAGCACACTCCTCATCCCAAGCAGCAACACGGCCATTGATGGGCAAAACGACTACCCGGATGCCTCTTCTGGGAAAAGCTGGCAGAAACACTCTAACAGCTGCTGCTCCTTGAGGGATCTGGGAATTTCAGTGCCCAGAAGATCGGGAGGCGGTTGAGTCCGGAACTCTCTTTCGAATGCCGTGAGGAAAAGCTTCGACTTCCAATTTACAGTTCCAGGCTTTGGATGCAGCGTCCCTAACCCAAGTTTCTATTTTTGTGTTTTTTCGGGGCTAGGAGTCGCTCCTGAAAGTGAGTCCCGGCATCGGCATGCGTTGAATTAAGCAAGGCATGCAACGTCTCGTGCTCAACGTGGGGGAAGGCAAGGCAGCAGGGAACCGAGCCGGCTCCTGGACCTTCCTCTCCCTACTTGTCGGGTATCATGGGGAACTAAGGTTAACCGTTTTGGGTATATAGGGATTATATAGGGACTATACTACCCAAAAACCTTGAAGGCTACCTACTCGACAACTAGGTCTCCAGCAGTCCTGGAGCTTCAACTGCCGTCAAATGTGTCCAGGAACTGCTTGAGGCACCTCTGCAGGAAGGCCGCCATATCTTTGGGGCCATCTTCCATCTTCCTTCTTCTTCTTCTTAATCCTTGGCTCTGTTGCAGATCTCTGGCGGCCGCACACACTTCAAGACCGCCTCTTAGACGTCGGAAGGTTCGGGCTTGTCAAGGGCTGCCAAGCCCACTCCGTTGCCTAGCTTCTTGATGTCATCCGAAAGCGCAAATTGGTCGAAGCAGACAGGGGCGAACACCGTCGGCACTCCAGACATTAGGGAGGCGTTCGTGGTGCCCGTGACCCCGTGGTGGACGGTGACGCAGCAGCGCGGGAAGAGCGATCCGTGGCTTGCATACTCCACAAAGAGAGCATTCTTCTGGCTGTAGCTTTGAGCTCTTCTGCGTCCGGCTCCCCATCCACCAGATCCAGCGATATCTCCGAGCACCCGGCACAGAAGATCCACCCAGACCGAGAACACGCAGCAGCACTGTGCCTGCGCGCTCTCTGTCTGACTGGCCTTCGGGGGATTTTCTTAGGAGGGTCATGAACTTGAAACTTGCACCGATGATGGAGCCCAAGCCAAAGTAGACTGGGGGCCCCCAGCTGCTAAGAAGGAGTTGGACATCTCGGATCCAAATTCAGGGCCGACCTGCATGGCGTTCTCGCCACCATCGGCCCCACACGGATGATGGTGCTGCCGAAATCCGCTGGCACGTCCCGGTGCTACGATGTCTCCGTGACAACGTGATGGAACTTGGAGTCATTGCCCATCGTGTCGAAGTGGTCTTGCACTGCCGGCGCAGAATCAGCCGACGGCCTTTGGAAGATCTCTTCCCAAACAGGTCCCTGTTCCGTCTCCAACCTCCATAACGTGACATACCAGCCCAGGCTTGCACGAATTCCAGGCCGAGTTGATAGCGGCAGGAGGGGGATGGAGTTGCTGGCAACCATAGATTGTCTGCCATTGCTGGACAACCAAGCCAGGAGTACGAAATTCGCTCTCCACCTCTGCCATCTGACCGAAGTTCTGAGTTACCATGCTGTCGACGAACTTCTGGCTAGTTACGCCCTTCTTTGCGCACCGCTGAACCACTTTGAAGGGGACGCCTCTGCCAGGTCTGTCGTCTCCTCACGGCTCAGGGCCAAACTGTCAAATCCGGAAAAGATGAGTTCTCTGGCCATGACCAGATCATTATGCGACGGCCCATGGCGCTGCCACTTTGTGTGTCTGACGGTGGCTGAGAGGTCCGAGAAGGAGCCTGATGACTTGAGCCACAATTGAATCGATTGGGGCCGGGGCAGGTCAAAGAGGGTGAGAGGGATCCAACACTCCATCGTTGCAAGGAGAGGTCTCAGAAAGCCCATGCTCAAAAGTCTTGTTCCAGCGATCCGCACAAGGGGAGCAGGGAGGAGAGCAAGAGCTGGGCAAGCTTTGCTGCCCTCAGGTTTTCTGCGGCAGTGCCCAGGCGATCTCGGCAGTCGAGGCAAGGATCACAATGTAGGCGGGGCAGGGCAGCCGGCCGCGCCTTGCCGGCCTTGCGGCTCTGCGGTGAACAACGCCGCCAGGGGTTCCTCCAGCAAAGACCGATACCTCGCAAGGCCCACTCTGCAGGCCCGGACCGGTTGCCCTCTTGCAGCTCTTATGAAAAGACATCGCCAAGCTGCAGCGGGTACGATGGCAACCGCTCCTGAGTGGAAGCTATCGAACAAGCCCCCTCCCCCCCCCCAAAAAAAAACAAAAAACCTAAAGGATTTGGAGACCTTCGAATTCATTGGAGGCTCGTAAACGTAGACGGCGCTGCCATGGGGCTTCCAGGACATGGGACAGCGTAGGACTTCTGTCAAGCCGAAGGTGAGGGCATTGGGCAGCATCTGCCTCATGGAGCAATTTCCCTTCGCCCCCCACTATATGATGCCCCATACAGCCTAATGCTAAGAACGGGCTGCAAGGTGGCCACGCGCTGCAGCAGCTTGCATTCATCGAGCTGCCTGGACATCTCCACTTCTTGCAGCTTGGGACAAACGCTCTCCGGCCGTGCAGACCTGGAAAGTGTGCTCATCACCATGGCTGGGAAGCCTCAGTGCTGAAACATGTCAGATCCACTGTCAGCCAAGCCCAAACGTAAGAGCACGGCTTCTTTCAAGCGAGTTGCACAATGAGCTGGTAAAGACTGCAGTGACGTGGCACCAATCACGCCAGGTCTGTAGTATATCCCCGTGGATTAAGCAGAAGCTTCGGCCGTCACGGAACCACGTGGCCCCGTCCTGAACGCAGCAGCCATCTGCTCTAGTGGCTCCTTGCAACGGCAGTCAAGAGCACCTGCGTGTCCAGCCGCGTCCATTCCTTCAAGCAGCTTCCAGCAAGGAGCACAGCTGCGTCGTGCCGCGTGGCGGCAAGTTCCACCCCGACGATGGAAGCCTAGAAAGCACTCCGGAACTCCGGACTCTGCACCCTCCAAGCGTCGAGCTTCCCCAGTGGAGCCCAAAGGGCTCAAAAACCCGCTCAATTCTGCCAAGACGCCGTCTGCGATTGCTGGAGCAGCGCCAGCGCACAGCGGCCCGCGCCACTGCCCAGCTCGGCTGCGGCCTCCTTTTCACCAAAGTCCTCGAGGCCGAGGCGTGCAGCGACTTGTGCCGCCCCCTCTGCAGTGATCTCCCCGTAGATGCCTAAAGAACGTGTGAAGCCCCGAATGTCTCAAGAATTTGCAAGGAAAACGATGAAAGCACTCCATCAACAGACAAGCGGACTGCTGCTCAGCTGCTCTCTGGATGCAGCTCCATCTGCTGGAGTAAGGCTCGCGTGGTCTTGGCAGGCCCGAACCACACGTCCCTCTGCAGCTGTGGCGGGAGCACCTCCAAGCGAGGCAACACGCACTTATTGTTGCCCGCACTTCTGCACAATTACGCCGAACCCTGAAACAGCGCGCCTCAGTGTAGATTCGCAGCGCTCCACTCAGCTCGGCCATTGTGGCCGGAGTGCGTGAATGAATGCCGCGCAACGCTGCTACGTGTAGTTTCATGGCATTGCATGCGCTGCGACATGCTTGACACAGGGAAGAAAAGTTTATGCGGAATATGTCTGCTTTCCAAAGGCACCGAGGAGAAGACCATGGGCTCTGGTGGGTGTGGGGGGGGAGGGTGCCCAGCAGGCCTGAGAAATGGCCAATATTCCATAAAACAGATTGGGTGCTAAGTGTTGCACGATCCAGCTGCTACGTTCGCCCAGGGACGACGGCATGCACTAGTGCATCGGTCGTTGGGCGGCTAGGCTTCCAGATCGAGCTGCAAAAGCCGGGGACAGGCATGACACACATATGGGAGTTTCCGAAAATAGGGAACCCTAATCTAGTACCCTAAATAGTAGGATCCTTAATTTAAGGACCCCAAAACAAGGGTCCCCTACTTTCGGAAACTCCCACATCAGCCAGCAGCAAACTCCAACTCCCAAATCCCCCGAGCGGAGACCCTGAGTTCTTCTCTCGCAGCACCGGGTTGCTCGAAGCCCAGGCCCGATCTTCCGGAGCCTCGGCCAGCGCACTCCGAAGCCACCTGCCAGCACTCAATGTATCGCGATGGATGAAAAACTTAATCATAATAGTAGTAATACTAGTAATAATAACAATAATAATGATAATAATAATATTCATAATCATAATGGTAATACATAGTAATCATAATATAAGACATCATACTATGCAAGCCTACTCCCTTAGAATCATGCCGCGCCTCAGGCATCGCCTGGTGGTTTGCTGCTTGCTTGTGCTTCATTTCAGTGTGCGCATACTTTATAAACTTTCGGGGAAAGCCAAGACTCTTGGAAGAAGGGCCCGAAGGAGGTGCTGGCAGCCCGCAGCACTGGAAAACAACAATGTTCCCGGCAAGGGTGTCGGAAGGGTGCGGGCAGACTGCACCACTAGCACTGGCAAAAAGGATGGCCGGTGGAAGCGCAGAGTGCTCGAAGGCAGTGTTCCCGAAAGGGGGGTCGGAAGGAGATGCGGGCTGGTCGCCCTCGACATTGGAAAGAACCAAATTCACGCAAAAAGACTCGGAAACGGCCTGAAACGGTCAGAAGGAAGTGCAATATGGCAGAAGCACTGGAAAAGCAGAGATTCGAGAGAGATTTCGGAAGGAGGTGCGGTAAGGCAGTGTGCAGCACGGGAAAAGCCGAGATTCCCGAAAAAGTGCTCGTGATGGTCAGACGGAGGTACGGCATGGCAGCCTGCAGCGCCGGAGAAGCCAAGATTCCTTATAGAGGTGTTGGAAGGAGGTGCGGGCTGGCAGCCTGCGGCCCCGAAAAGAGCCGAGATTCCCGAACTAGTGATCGAAAATCGGTCTCGAAAGAGAGGTCGGAAGAAAGCAGCACAGGGCATTGTGAGGTAAGCTGGCTTAGCCTCCTCGGCAAACAACACCGACGCCGATCCATGGTCTGCAGTAGCATAGCAGTTCTAAGGCTCAAAACCTCAAGGGTGTCGCAGGGGGCCTTGACCAATCGACCAAGAACCGAAATGAGAAAGAGGGCAGTCGCTTCAGACCTTGGAATAATGCACTTTGGACCGTGAACCCATTGCTATCAGCGTATCGAGCCACAGCAGGATGAATCAGCCAACCTTTGCTTCGAAAGTGTTGCTGATTGCCTGCTTGCGTGGCCTTTCTCTCGCAACCCCGGTTGCCTGGCAACTTCAGTTTGCCACGGCTGCGGCATCTCGGGGGTCGCCTCCGCCAGCTTGCTTCGAAGCTCCTCCCGCGAGAGTTGTTGCATGTCCCGGCCTAAAGGGCCTAAAGTGTGCGAAACGCCTCTTCCCCCGCACCTCGAGCTGCGCGTTGGCAGCGCTGCGGTAGAAGTGAGCCCAGCCTGGCGTCGGAAGCGTCAGAAGCATCCCTCCCAAAGCTTGCACCCCGTGGCCTTTCGCGGCAACCCGGAGCCAAACTTGCTCAAGCATGACACTGGTGAAGCTCATACCGCAAACTCACTCTCAACTGAATGCAATACAGCTACATGATCTTGCTGGCCTGCTCGGCACAGAAAAAACAAAAAAACAAGGAGACTTTCTGAGCGGCCTGGAAAGGAGACACGATCGACCTCCACATCGACAAGAAAAGGAGTTTCCTGGCTCATGGCTGCAGCAAGAAAGCAAGCCACCTCTCACTCGGAAGGCAAGAAGCGACAGGACAACATTTTGCCCTGCAGAGAATCCAGATTCGCAGCGCAGCCGTCTGCACATCGGGCGAAGCTTTTTCCATGCTGCAAGCAGCGCAGTTGTCGAAGCTAGTGTAAGGTTGCAACGCTAACAATTGGCTCTAAATACCTCGCCTACTCTGTCTGCACTTCCTCGAGTGGCGCTTCCTCCAGAGCCGTTTCCTGCGCAGTCGTCTCCTGAGGCCCCGTGTGCTCAACCGGAGCCGTTTCCTGTGAAGCAGATTCCTGTGGAGCCGCTTCCTGGGGGGCCGATTCCTGATAATGCGCTTGCTGGAACGAGGTCTCCTGCAGGCCAAACTGACCTCCGTCGGGCATAGACTGCACCATGCACACCATGGGCATCATGGACATCTGACTGTCTGCATATGGGGCCTCGGCTGTGGAAGCAGAAACCTCAAGATACCCTGCAACTCTGGTACGCAAAAAACTCGACATTATCAGAACGAAGCACCATAACAGGAGTCATCACGTTCGTCGACGGATCGTACATCACCATCTGCATGGTGCTGCTTGCGTCGGGAGTGTGCACCACCTTCTGAGCTTGTTCCCGGATGTCCGACTCAAGGGTTGCAACAGCTTGCTCGAGCTTCAGCTGTCTCGTCGACAACCTTACTCTCCGGAACTAGCGGCTGCTGCTAACCCCTGCACGCGGTACTGTTGCAGCCTGCTAAACCTGAGGACATCACTCTTCAAGGAATGCGTAGATCTTGTTGAATTTCCCTGCCTCCTGCAGCAGAAACAAACAGTCGACAAGCAGCAGTGGCAGAGGTGATCTAGTGCTTGCGTTTGCCAGCAGTACAAAGAATAGTAGCAGAGGCAGGAGCAGCAGCAGCAGCAGCAGAGTAGGAGTAGTGTCACCGACACGGTAGGAGTCGTAGTAGTAGTAGTAGTAGTAGTAGTAGTAGTAGCAGCAGCAGCAGCAGCAGTAGTAGTGTAGTAGTAGTAGTAGTAGTAGTAGTAGTAGTAGTAGTAGTAGTAGTAGTAGTAGTAGTAGTAGTAGTAGTAGTAGTAGTAGTGGTAGTAGTAGTGGTAGTAGTAGTAGTAGTAGTAGTAGTAATAGTTCTGGAAAAGAGGTCCGACATCCGACCAAGAAGGTGCAGTCAATCTTGCTAATCTTGGTCTGCAAGATGCTTACAAATTTTTGGGAAGGAGGCAAGATTGCAGGCAAGGGCAATATTTCACGGTACGATCTTGCCAATCTTGCTCTAGTGTGCACGATGTGCGGGGGGGGGACCGCAATCTTGAAATCTTGCAACCTTGCACGGCTTGGACCGCTTGGACCACTTGTACCAGTTGTACCGCTTGCGCCACTTGAGCCACTGGGGCCACTTGCACCATCTGCGTGAAATGATGCAAGTGGCTCAAGAGTTCCAAGTGGTCCAAGTGGTGCAAGATTGAAAGATTTCAAGATTCGCCCCTCCCTTCCAAGTGCACACTTGCAAGATTGCAAAATGAGCAACCTTACGTGCAATCTCGCCCCCCCAAACCGGCAAGCAAAATGACACGATTAGCAAAATCTTGGCCCATTGGCGACGGCAAGATCTGCAACATTGACCAGGATGGGCAAGATCGGTGAAATCTTGGTCCCACAGAGCGCGCTTCGTTTCCCAGCACCGTGTAGTAGTTTGTTGTAGTAGTCGTCGTCGTCCTCGCAGCAGCAGAAGTAGTCATGGTAAGACTTGGTAAGAAGAAAAGGAAGCCCAAGGCCGTTGTAGTAGTCGCTGTGTTGCTGGCAACAGCAGAAAGAGCAGTAGCGGTAGTAGGATAGTAGTTGAAACACTTAACTAGTGCTAACACGCAGCTTCGTGATGGTGGAAATTGAAACTTCTAACACTTATGAGAGGAACAGGAGCACGGGACAATAATGGCAACTGCGCAGATCATGCTAGCTGTGCGTACAGTAAGTAGGAGGCCATCGTCATCAGAGCGCCCGTGGGCTTCAGCAAGATCTCCGGGAAAACGATCACTGCAGGTTCAGCCGCCATGATCCGCGCTCCTCACGCTCGAAGTTCGCCAAGGCCTGTGACATCACCTCTTGGGCCCTGTGGAGCGATCGCTCCAGTCGGAGATGTTCCGGAACGAATTGCATCGGCTCGCCTCGGAAAAAGCTCTAAACTTCTCTCGCAGGGCAGTGAACAAAGGCACAGAAACTTGTTTATAGTACATTTCCAGCCAACTCCCTGGCAGAACATAGCTTCTCCATCGAGGTGCTGAAGCCGTCCACATAGTAACCCCCACGCATGAGGGCCACGTCACAGTCAAAGGACTAATGAGGACGACTGAAACTTCGCTTGGGCCAACACACTCGTGGAGAACGAGATGTTCAGCGGCTGACCACAAAATACGCGATACACATATGCAAAAGAAGGAAAGCCTAAACGTGGCTGCATGTCCTGGCCCGTCAGCAGCCACCACAAGAGTATTCCAAGACCTTCGCCAGAGACTGTCTCGACCCAACGAAAGTATCCTAAAGCTTTTCAAAGGGCGACCCGCTGCTCTGCTCAGAGCGTGACCATAAACGTCGCTGGCTCCCGGGACCAGGAGACCTCGAAGCACCTCCGGTGGCGTCGCTGCCAGGTTGCCGGGGAAAGCCTCCGCAACGCGAGACGAAGAGAAGGGGGGACGGAGAGGTGTGGTTTTCAGCTCTGCAGGTGGCCTCCACGTCATAGCAGCAGCCATACACATCAATATTGTTCGGCCGCCTGCTTCGGCTAGCTTTGCATGCTGAAGTTCGCACCAGCAGCCTACCAGGTCTACCAAAGAGCTTAGCTTCAGCCACAGGCGCTCGATCTCTTCAACCAGACGCCGAATCGACAGCGGATACCTGGAACTGCAGACGCCTAAACCCCTGTTACACTTGGAAATCCCGCACGAGCCGATCCGACTGCAAGGCTGGATCGGTTCAACCAGCACTTTAAAGCCCTGAATCGCTTCACTGCATCCTGCTTCCATTTCTGCGGCTGTGGGGCGAATAGCGTGCACAGCATGGGAAGCGTCGATGGTGGACGTAGCGCGCCCCTGGCTACGAGTATTCCCTCTAGAGGCCGCGCGCAGGAAGACAGGCCCATACAAACCAAGGCCCAAAAAATCACGCATCTGGTAGTGCTGTTGCTACTGACTTTCACCACGAGAGTTACTACTGTTCCAGTATTTCCGTTCTTCGGGTGACTACATGCTCAAATGCGTCTCTGTGGCGGAATCGCTCCAGGGGTTGACAGGCCGCGGCCCGCTGCGCTGTGCTCACGAGCAAGGAGTTGCCAAAATCCTCTAGGCGAGAGACTGAGAGAAAAGGGAAGAGAGAGAGTGAGAGAGAGAGAGAGAGAGAGAGAGAGAATCGTCGCACCGCTTTCAATTCTTCCGGGCATCCACCAGCCGAGCACGACCCGCTGCATCCAGACAGCAGTTGCCAGCAGAGATGTCTGCATGGATTATTCCGTTGAGGCGCAGGAGCTTCACCTAAGCATTTGTGGCAACAGGCCGCGATCATCTCATATTGCAGACGAGGTGCAGCGCTAAGTAGCTGGTTGATGATGTCACATCGCGATGGTAAATCCAGGCTTTCCAGCCGAATTGATTCCAGGGGCTGGCCCGCGTGCTCCAGCACCAGCATCAGTTCGGAGTTCGCCTCTGCATCCTGCATTGCAGCAACACCCGAGCCGATTCCTCCCCCGCCCCCCCCCTAGCCGGCCGCCAGAAAGATCGGCTGCGAGGAGAGCAGTGCGACGACGTGCGCCCGGCCCGTGTGCTGGGGGCCCGATGACAGTCGATCCCCCACCGCCTCGGTACACGGGCGTCACAGTTGCTAGCAGGCCTTTTGCATTCATGCGTACTTGCTTGCGAGCAGCTTTCTCCTTCTCCCACTGCTTCCTATGCTGTCCTCTTCGCAAGGTCACGTCGCAAGCAGGCCGAGTTTGGCTCCGACTCTACCGACAGGCAGATGGCAGATACTGTGCCTTCCGACGTCCTGCGCTACAGCAGACTGCCCCACGCCCCTTCAGCAACCGCAGCCCTGTCCTAACAGAGATTGCCCGAAAAAGGCTGCAATTGCCGCACTGACTTTTGGGAAGTGCTTCAGCACAGCGAGGTCTCCGAAGCTCCTGGCAAAGACGGTCTTGCTTTTGTTTCAACCGGGTTGCCCGCACGGCACGAAGCCTCTATGACAGCTGCTCGAGTCTCTCGCATTGGTCGCGTTGAGGCCACAACACCCCGCAAAAGCTTTTGTGACAGCACGCCACTTAGAGATCGCTCGATTGGTACAATTGCCAATGCGCCGGCATGGCTGTGGCGGGGAAAGCTGCAGCTCCCACACGGATGCAAAGCTGCCACTGCCAAGGTGCCGGCCTCACGGACCGCTCCGCTTGCAGCTGCTTGCAACTGCAAATCTCGGCTCCCGCCTGCAGTGGCGTTCACCCAGCCCTGGCCCTCCGGCGCGGCGAAGCGCAAGGCAGCGCCCGCTTGCAGCAAGGCCTCAGTGCGCACAGCCTCAGCCTCCCACAATCCCAACGTATTTCAACGATGTCCCCGCCTGTGCGGCCGAAGCGGCCTGCAAGACCCAGCAAACAAGAAACTACAAGTGGGACTCAGAGCATCTGCTGCACTGCAACGTGACATGAACTGTTCATTTGTGCATGCTATGACCTCGCTGCAGGCGCCGCGTCTGGCAGACAGACGGCATGGCAGAGCACGCCACATCTTGCTTCCACATGGGGTGCAGCTGCACTTGTCTGCGAGGTTGTGGTCTTTTGAATAGGGGACTATTTGAAAGAATGTATGAAAGCAGGGCTCTTCCAACATCTTCTCTAGTTACTGGGTTGCTGGCTCTAATCTCAAGACCTCGACCAAGCTAAGGTTTGTGGCACATGGCTTTGTTAGCATCATGTATGTCGTACAGCCATCTGTGGCTGACATCTTAGGCATTGCGAAGCTTCCATATCATTACCTTGACCTCCAGGCGACCCAAAAAAACAACCCCAATACACCAAGTATGGTACGACTCTCAGAAAACACCACTTGCTCACGAATCAGCTAGCTAAGGCGGCTGCCGTCAGGATCTCTAGGGCGTTCTGCCTCGTCAAGCCTCTCCTTTGGAGGGGAAACGCTTGGGTCGGAGATTATGAAGGTTTCGGATCTCAATCCTGGCGAAAACGGAAGCCTGCATTCCCCGTGGCCAGTCAGCAGCCAGCAGAACGTCGATTGTGGAGGCTCGCTCGGCAACCTCAATGATTGCATGGTCGCTCAGCCGTCAGCGGCTCAGCTAGTTCTCAACTTGCCAACGACTTACGGTATGTGGTGAACTAGAAGCTCGTTCTCCAGTCCTAAGATGGATGTAGACATCTGCCACGCGCGTATAATAGAGTATAGTGGTCCTGTTCTGCTGGCACCACATCACATGACAAGCCCGAAGCCCGCTCCGAAGACGAGGAGCTGCACAAAGCACGCCAAGGACGTAAAGCTCGAGGTGCAAACTCTACTCGAAGAATCTCTGAGGGTTTTGGCACAAGGAAGATCCTGAGCCAGGCGCCAGCTTGATCAAGCGCTTCACCGCTGCTGACGTGTAGGCCTCAAGTCTCGGCTGCCAGAATCGTAGCTGTAGCTTCGGACTGAAAACGGGCAACACGGCAACTTCGAAGGATAAACCCCCGGCCCAAGAAGCCCATACACACCATAGTTTCAAGGCCCCGGCAGTTCCAACAAAGTTGGGACTGTCATCCATTACCTCTGGCAACTGTTGGCACTCTGGCTTCTCTGGCTGTTTGCCCGCCAAGTGTTTGCTGACAGTCCACGAAAGCCATCATAACTCTTGGAAGACCTTCCCTACATATGGATGTTCTATCCAAACATGCTGACATCATCGATCAGCCGAAGATTGATGGTTAAGCAAGGAACAAACTCAGAATCCTGGGAACGTCGGCGAATTCCAATCGAAATCCAGGGCCACGTGGCAAAGCATCAAAGTCCCGAAAAAAGCTCTGAGGCCCCATCCGGTTTCGCGAACGTGGCTGCGTCATAGCTCCTTGTAATCAAACAGCTACTGATAACAGCGGACGATTCGTTGGCAGGGCACAGGGCTTGAGGTCGTTCTCGGCCGCATCGCTCGCCAGAGGCTCTCATTTCTCCAGAGCGGCTCTCGGCTTCTAGACTTTGAGAAGCACGATTTTTTGCCACCGCTCTGGAAGGTCACGCTATGATTAGCGTGCAATAAGACACGTTCGTCACATGGAGCCGGACATGCGAACCGCACTGCTGCGAACCGGAAGTGTCACGTGCGAGGGGTGCTCGTGGTCAGCGAAGACGGTGACTGTCGCAGGTGGCCCGACCTGAAGTGTTATGTTGGTGTCTCTACGTCAAGAATTCGAGGGCTGATCTTTACTGAGAGTGAGCCGAAGGAGAACTTCGGCAAAGTGAGGCAGAGAGACCTCGGAGGCGCCCAGGAGCCAATCTTCCTCCTCATCTTGGAGCGGATGGCGCAGCCAGCGCGGATGCGCCGCCGAACAGACGTGCAGTCGGACACTGTCCCCAGCTCGGAAGTGACACGCCGTCACCCCAACCGAGACGTCCATGCGAATCACCGAATCCTGTGTTTCAGTCTTGTTCAGAAACATCGCAAGAGTTACAGAGTTACAGCTCACTCCTTGGCCTCCTGAAACTTGACTCGGACGATGTCCTCGCACAAATTCACCTGAGGATTGCTTCCGCTGCAAAACAAGTTTCTCAGCCAGAGTCAGGCGAGTCACTGAACGCCCACGGCCCAAGCCGCGTGGGTCTGGATCCAGGATGCGATCCAGAAAGCCCGGCTCGGAGGACCCCTCCGAGCCACGGACTGCGCAGAGCCGCACGATGACGTCACATTCCGGCGCCGTGCAACTCACGTACCTCAGGTTCCGAGCGAAATGCCTCTTCAATCTTCGCCTCTTGAGCTACGAGAGTAGGTTTTTTAATGACCATTATATGCGCAACATTGCGAATCAAAGCGGGTGAAATCCGGGTCGTCTTAAGATCAAAGCGGGTGAGTAACAGCGTTGCAGAGACCTCGCCGACGATCTCCAGGGGCTGCTGCAACGGATCAGAGGTGAGAACGAGCACGTCTTGCAACCGAGAGCTTTCGAAAGATCTCTGGTCCTGAGCCCCGTCTTTCTGGAGGTTGAGCCAGCCATCGCCGGCGTAGGGCGTAGGATCTCTGGGATCATAGACATACGACAATGCACCTGCTTCCCCGCCAGGATCACCTGGAAGCAGCAAGCCCGTGCCCAAGCCAGCATCCTTCTCCTGGAAAAAGAACTGCATGGGCTTGGAGGGTGGCGGCCAAACGTCGCACTCCAGCCATGCTTCCTCCCCGTTCGCATCCTCCTGGATGAGTTGCATGCGCACCGCTGCACGCGGAGCTGCGGCGCTCGTGCCGATCAAGTTTTGGCTGTACCACTGCCGTGTATGTTCCGCAACCTGTACTCCATGATTCACCACCACACCGAAGTGGCCTCCGGTGAAGATTGTCAATCTTGCAGCTCCGTTCGTGGCTTTCGTGGCCAGCTGGAAGTCTTGCAGACTTTGAGCTAGAAACATGTCATTCCAACCAGCGATGACATGGATGCTTGGAGGCTCCCGGAAATCTGCAAAGTCACACTGCACATCCCGACCTTCTGCCCAAAATGGATCTGCTGCATCGCGTGCGGTCTGGCCGCCACGCCAGAGAACGTTGGGCCGACCCCAGAGATCCGAATCCGCTTCACTCACCGGTCTCTTCGCCAGAGCTGAATCGAGACCCGGCCAATCCTCCAAAGAGAAGAAGCGGAACATGTTCCACAAGAAGCCAAAGCCGCCCTGGCGACCTTGTCGTAAGCCCACCTCGGCCAACCAGATGAAGCGCAAAGCCAGCTCCGCAGCCAGACTCTGTCCATTGACAAACACGGTCGGATGGATGCGGGAGAAGGAAATGACGGGAACCAATGCACAAACTAGGGGACGATCCTTCGGGGCATCTTTAGCGTGTGATGCAGCCAGCGTTGCATAGGATGTGTTCCCAAGGAGGCTGTAACCATGGCAACCAACCCGACCATTGCACCAGGCCTGCTGACCAAGCCAATCCAGCACCACGGCCGCGTCAGCTTGCCATCTCTGAAAAACCAGGTCCGCCACCTCCTCAATGGGCCCGGTCGCTCGCCAAATGATGTAAGCACAGTCCAAGGAAATATACCTTGGGCCTTCAGCTTTTTCCAGCGTCTCGGCCAGGGAATAGTAGCAGCCCACGTTCACAAGCACCGCAGGGACACGGCGCTCCAAAGCTACGGCTGGTTTCAGCACCACCACCTCGACCCTGCCATAAGGGGTGTTCAAATCCAGCTGCTGCCGGAGAACACCTGGAACCAGCAGGACATGTGCATCGTGACATTGAAATCCGACGGCCGGCCTTGGTCTTGAGGTGTCGCACGGAGCCGTATCCGGGCTTTGCCACCTGCGAGCTGCCTGAGTCGTCTGAATCCTCAGATGAAAACACTTGAGCCGCCAAGGCCATGCCACGGCTAGGGCAAAGCGCGGCTGAGGCTCGATGGCCGAACACAAACGTGGCCAAGACATAGGGGCGAACACGGAAATCTTCGCCCCAACGAGCAACCTGATGCTTCGCAAGTCGCTTCGCGAAGAAAAGTGGTGGATCCTGAAAGAAAAGAACTCGAAAAAGGTCGATTGAGCTCAGCGACGCGAGTGGAGACTACGCCAGCTCTGCTCGTCCAGGCAACGCGTGGTGTCCAGGTGATGGGCCGGAGGAGCTTCACATGTGAAGAGTGAAGCATTCGGCAGTTTCTGCCCAAGATATCAGGACAAGTTGTCACTCGAAGTAAACCTGCCAAATTTGAATGCATGATCCTACAGTAGGTGTTAGCTACCAGTAGCTGTTGCTTGCTTTGCCTTTCTCAACAAAATTGCAGCAAAGGCTTACCATCTCGTACCAGGCCAGGCCCTACAAATACTTTGTTGCGCGGTCTCTGCCAAGTCCATACTGGGATTCATATGAAGACCCAACCAGAATGAGGAGGCGGTAGTCTGAGCCACAGCTTGCGTCTCTGAACGGCTTCCCACCCTCTCTGGGGTCCAGGCCCCGACAAGTAAGCGACCGTCAACCCATGGATTTCGCGAACCTGCCCAGGGAATTCCGGGAATCCCTTGCTCTGCTCTGGCTTGCATCGCCCATCTCTGGCCCCGCCCCGAAACCGCCGAGGAAGTTGAGGTTCCTGCAGTTTCGCGCGTTCCCGCTCAGCCCCGATCTAGCGGAGACGTCTGAGGTCTGAGGCGACGGCTCGCAGAGCTGCTTGCCCTCGGGAGCGGCCTGCAGGTCTCCAAAATTTGCTGCGGCCGGCTTGCAAAGGCAGGAGCTGCCGGGCGAGCCTGCAAAAAGGCGGCACTCTTGCTGTCTATGAAGTAGGTGTCGATGGGAACCTGGCGACACTCGCGAGGGGCTGAAGCGACGCGGGGGGAACGCTCAAAGCCGCCCCCAACCTTTCGGCCACCTGAGACGAACTCCGCCAAACCAGCAGCTGCCTGGCCCATGGGCAGCCACATGGCCGGGTCTACAAAGTGCAGCACGCAGGGCCAAAGAAGTCTCCTCTTTGTCTCCAGGCGTCGGCAAAAACCTGGGCTCTGCAAGCGGCTTCCAACGTCAGCTGGCTGGGCTGGCGGCAGTTTAGCAAGACATCGCAACTCAGGCGGGCACGCGCCCACAGCAAAAAGAGCGGTGAACTGGCCAACTTTCTTCTGCTGTGTTTCCACCTGCATTGCTAAAAGAAGAACGGTTGCATTGAGCTCCACACACAGCTGCAGTAGTACTACACCCAAACTCCACGCAATGTCGAGAGCGATGTTCAAGGCACTTTTTTCGTCCTGGCACTACTGTGCGGCTCCAAGCAGTCGGTCGATCAGGTCGCTCTTCTCCAGGCAGCCATCGGTCGACAGTCCCGCTTCCTTGAGTCGGGCCTTCAGCTCTTTCAGAGGCAGCTGCTGCAGCTCTTCGCGGCTTGCCCTTGCTGGGACAGCGAGAACGAGGCAGGCGACGTATTATTAACAAAAAGACCTTGTTCTGTCTCAGACTCTTTCCGAAGGGAGGGAGTTTTGGCAACTGCATCCAAAAGCATCCAAAAGCGTTCCCAATGAGCTGGACCATGGAACGCCGCCTTTTCATCACCATCAAGGCCCAGCTTGTGCCGGCCCACTGCGGAGACCACGGAGGCGAAGGCGGAGGCCGCAGCGGATGCCCCCCCTTCCCTGGGGGTCTCTAGCGCCAGGAGCAGCTTCATTCCATCCTTCACGGCCTCTCCTTCTTGCAGCTCCTCTCCAGATTCCGTGTCAAAAATCCGGAGGTTTGCAAGCCTTGAGGACACTTGCGTACACATGTTGGGCAACAGGCGCTGACTGGCATGAAACCTGCACTGCAAGCCAAGCGGCGCTGCAACAGCGTGGCAAAAGGGGATGTTCTGCCAAAGCTTATCAATGGCCCGATTCTTCGCATAGCCCAGGTCCTTACCTGCTGGGACCTCGACTTCAGTCGCAAGGCCGCGCGTCATGACGGTCAGGAGAGTCGCCTCATCCTCAGACACCGCGAAGGATAGCTTGGGCATGGGCATGGCTGATGCCCGCTCGTACCCAAAGTGCAGAAGTTCTACTTTGCGACAGGAGATTCGCGCATCTTGCAAAGGACTAGCCAGTGTTGCTGCCTGTTCTGCATGCTGTGCCTCTAGCTGGAGCCGAAACGAGGGAAGCGCGAAGCACGGGGTAGCCATAGAGGTTCATGCAGGTACTACATTGACAGTGGACGGATGTCCTGCAGCAACAGCTATTATACTTTCCCGCCTGTGCAAAGAGCTTTGTCAAGTTACCCTCCGCATCACCAACCAGCAGCACGCGCCGACGGTCGTCCATCGAAGGGGCTTTCTTATCTCTGTGGAACGAACTCTGGAACCTTTTACACATCTAGACTTTTGCCTTGTTGCGACACAAATTCCATGATAATGCCTGCTACCAGCCGATCACGCGTATCTATGAGCCTGTTTGTCGGCTCCTGCTGCGCAGGTGTCCTAATCCCAGCGGCTGAATAACTTTGGGGATTTTTTGCGTCAAAGCCGCAACAAGGCAGAAGCAGCGCGATGCAGCTTTGCATGAGCAAATGCATGCCACCTCACAGCCTCGGCTTTGGAATATCCCGACAGAGACTCTCCTGCTCGGACTCAGGCAGACGCGCGGACTTTGGCTGGGCTACTTTGGCAGCTTTAGTCGGGCGTTAGAGGTCCAGTTTCTCGAGCTCTTCACCGAACTCCTCCTTCGACAGTGCACAGATTTCGCCGATGGTTCCCTCCAGGGAGTTGAAGGCGGCGTTCTTGTGCGCAGCTGCACGGCCCTTGGCAAGGCCGCCGACTTCTGCCCCTGTACACATTAGGCACCAGAACTTGCCGGACTTTGTGCGGAGTCCCCCGAAGACCACCTGGTCATCTCGGATGCAAGAGAGGAGCTCAGAGCCGGCATCGGACCCTGAGGCCATCAGCTTCAGCTTGCTTTTCCCTTCGTAGGCCATCAGAAGCCAAGTGGACTCGCCACTGCGAACTTTTGACCAAGCCTCCTGAACTTGGCAATCAATGTCAAGCCCCGAAGATACCTTGATACCTCCATCTGTTCGGAACAAGCCCCCGCCGCCTGCATCCATGTTGGGCATAGATCGCTCAGCTATTCGTTTATGGCTATGGCATCTGATGTCCGTCGGAGCTACTTTTAGACCCGCTGCAAGCATGAGGCTCTGAACGCTTCACTCGCCAGGCACGTGAAAGGCCTGGGCAAATTGATCTAAGTCTCTGAATCAGGAGCCGATAAGCATGCAAAGCGAGGTTGTGGGGTTCTGCAAGCCATGTAGCAGAGCGATGACTTGCGCAGCACGCCTCCTGGTCCTCCAGCCACAGACAATCGCGTCACAGCATCAGAGCATTTTTCTTTCCCGCAGGCGGCAGCAAATTAATTATGGACAGAAGTGCACTTGTTCATGGCATCTAGACGTACGATCACGTTCTAAAAGGTGCCGCGCGTCCAGAAGCACAATCCCGCTCTACAAGGTGCCGCACACCTTGACACACAATCACCCTTCACAAGGTTCGTCGCATTTGTAATTGCACTCACGCTCCAAAAAGGTGCTGCGGAACACCCGTAGAGGCCGAACGGGTGACAGACTAGCCATGGTAGGCTTCTGCTCATCAAGATGCCTTGACAATGCCACCTTGGAGCCCGAGCCTCCGGGCAAAGGACCTTCGGCAGCTAAACTGTGACGGAAGAGGCCCGTCCGAGCCGGTGTAAATTCCCGGCAAGTCAACTTAAACCCAGACTTGATCGAAGTTCAGCTGGTGTCCTCCAGCACACGCACGTGATAGCCGTTCACGGATAGATAGACGGGCAGTATCAAACCCACACCGGCAGCACACAGACGCAATCCATTTACCACATCCTTTGCGGGGACCCCTGGTGGTGACATGTTTGGAAATCTTGACGCGGAGGGCGTGCACCGGAGCACACAGCTCGATTCAGACTGACGGGCGACGGTTGCCGATAGCATTCCCATCCCGACCCTGACAGTTCTCCATCACCGGTCGTGTGCTTCGAAAATTCACGGGCAACCGGGCACCCTGTTATAAAGACAGTGTTGTGACACATAAATCAGGCCAAATGCCCAGCACAATAAGTCTGGACGGCCTACGCATGACCTCGCGCCAATCACTGTTCAGACATCTGGAAGAAGACAGTTGGAGAGTAACGCTAACGAAGGATGCAACGGTTGTCAGGCCCTGTCTGGGTCTTCGGGGCGCATCTACGGTCCACGGGGGCCTTGCCCGGCACTTTACAGTGCGGAGACGATAAGCTCGGAAGGGTCCCGGCTCTCTGTGTCAGCCTGTGCGGAGAGCCTTCTCCGTTCGGAAAACGTTCAACTAAAGAGTTCGGCCTTAAGACATCTGGCCGCAATGCCTGCAAGGAGCACCCTCGTTGTGTCCGGAATGGCTACCAGGAACAATCAAAGAGCTCAAGGGTGCTCACGACATGAAAAACTCTTGATTTGCCAGCCGTACCACAGGCAGGCCGCTTTGGCTATACAGTGCCCAGACAAAACTTAGAACTTCAAAGTGCTCACTGAGATGTTCCAAAGTCAGCCGAGGCCATCCCTGAAGGGCAGAAGACTCGCGGTCTGATTGCTCAACTGCTGGTCTGAAACATCCCAGAAACTTTCCTTGAACCTCCTAGATCTGCTGATGGCATGTCGAATGGCTTGGTGGGAAGTCTAGACGATGCTCTGATTTGCAAAAATCTTAGCGATAAGCGACGTCGAAGACCGGCCACCCGCACCTGAATGAATCAAGGCCTCTGTATTGTTCTGTATTGCTAGTCACCTTGTTGCAAATTGACCTGTTGTTTAGACTATTCTATGCATGCTACGTTTCGATGTCTTTTCCGACTGCCGTCCAAGCAACGATTTTTAAACCACTTTTCGAAGAGGCGCCGGTGCCCTACCTGCATTGCATTGCAAGGCCAAGACCGTGACAGCCTTTTCCGAGTCAAAAGAAGCTGACATGAAACTAAGGACACTGCTTTGTCAATCTTGAGGTCATGAAAGAAGAGCCTCATAGCAACGACCCTAGAGCCCGAGAAAAGAAAACGTGGGGGGTCGCAAGCGATCTTTTCAGACATGTCTCTGGCATTCCAAATGACAGAGATTGAGCGTGAAGGCTGTCAAAACCGAACGCAGCACACAGTTGCGCAAAGCGAGCCGGGAGCAACTGGTCTAGCGTCCAGTGTCCGTCTGATCGTCGAACCATGTACAGACCAAGTATCTGCACAGAAAGTCGTACTGAACACGTTCTCCGCCCTGTACTGTACCCCTCATGTGAAATTAGGATATGATGTGTCAGTTGATGCTGACATGCACACACCTGCTCCAAGCTGTCGAAATGCGCCAGCAAGCGGGCCCGGTACCTCTGACAAAAGCCGTTGCAAAGCTGCTTGGCACAGGCTGCCACGGTGGCCGCCCCGCAACTAGCGGGCCTGGAAACAACCACAACGTGTGCCGGGGTGTGGCGGTTGGCCATGTGCAGGGGTAATTTCATCGCACCGGGCTTGCCATTGCGAGAAAGCCCACCCACGGCCCCTTTCACAGTAAGTCTGCAAAGAGGAGCCTCAGGCTTTGGGCGAAGCTTCTCGGAGTCACAGGCGGAGGCCGGCAGGAAAGAAAACACGGGAACACGGCTTAACGGTGGGGCACTGGTTGAGCAGCCCCTTTCCTTGGTCGATGTCATCCAACCAGTCGCTAAGGCCGAGGGATCTCCAGTGGGCCTCGCACATGGCGTCACGACGCTGAGTGAGAGGTAAGGCATTGCGTCAACAAGGCGCCAGACTCCTTCTCCGGCATGCAACCTGCCGTCGGATGCGGGTGGAGTATCCCTCGTCTCCTAGAAACACACAATCTCAGCATCTTGCCACTGTGCTTTAGGTATTGGTGGCCGCAGGCTCGGCCCCTCCGAACTCGAATTGCCCTGCCACGTCGACACTTCCAGTGCAGATTGAGCAGCATGTTCGCAGCGATGCCTTCGCAAAACTAAGCGACCCCAGCCTTGGGCTTGCCCTCTGGATCTGATCTCACTGCTTGCCGCACCTCGCCAAAGCAATTATTATCTTCCGTAAACCAACAGCAGTCACAGAGTCACAATCACAAGGCCCCTACAAATGGACAGCTGAGCTCGGAGCTGCATCAGAAGCAGCAAACCTTGAATCAGAATCGCGTCACCCCACCCCCTGCCGTTATGTAAGTCTCGGCCAAGCAACTGGAAACGCTGCAGAGTCGCAGGGTTTCTATGGCCTGGGCTCGGCATCTGTGGGCTCACCCCAACCCCAGCCGTGAGTGGGACCAAACTGCCCACGGAGCAACGGCCGGAGACGGAGCAGCTGAGCCGGTGGCTGACATCGTGGCAACAGCCACATCTGTCCCCAAAGTGGCAACGGCCGTGGACAACGAAAAATACACAAGGCAAACCTCAGCTTGCCGTCTGACAGAGAATCACTTCGAAGATTGCAAAAACCCGCAACATGTGGCATACTGGCTCGGGTCCAGGCACGTGCCACGTGCATGGCTTCTTACTGAAGCTGTAGGTCGCTCCCTGGCATGAAACTCTGAAAGCGTCTGGCCTCGAAGCACCAAAAACCCTTAAATCTCAACGCCCGGTAACCTTCTTACATGGGCTTCGGCTGTCATGCATGACTCTGAAGGGTTTCTGCCATCCAACCACCTGCTCCCTCCTTGAATGTTACTTCTTCATGACGCCACTGGCTGAACGGAGCCAACGGACATTCCGGAGTTGTTGGTGTTGGGTTGCCGGACAAGTTCGACATCGTGGTGATGTGCATGGTCTTTGATGTATCTCGCTTGTCGATAACATGGTTGGTCTGTTGTGGGTTCGTGAGCATCGATTCTGACTCTCAATGACCCCACTTCAACACTTGCTCGAAGCGCTCCATAAGAGGATGATGATGAGGATAATACTAAATGATGAGAATATGAACTGGAAGTGGAATCGCCAGTGCCATGTCTGTGGGCATTGACCGATGATACGGGACTCCATCTCTCGTAGCAATCTCGGCAACTGTGCTGCGGCTGCTGAACACAATTTCTGCTGAAATCTGCAAGCGACATACATACCGAAACCAAAAACATTTCCCTGAGCTTCCATTTTGCTTGCTGGTGCAAAAATCCTGAAGGACATCGTCTTGAAACAAGCGAAACGCCAGGAGCCGTGCCTCAAGGACCAGTGCTCTGGCCTCAGCTCTTGGCGGAGCTCCGCAGCTTGCAGCTTGCATTGCGAATGGCAGGATAGAACAGACACTTGTCTGTAGTACACCCCGGGATCGGCACTAGAAGGCAAAACTTCCCGAAATGGGACGAACTCCAAGCCGGTGCTCTGAACTGCTGCCAAAACTCTGGCCCAAAGCGAGCGAAAGCATACGCTCGGGCGTTGGTGCCTTCAAGCACTTGGATATCTCAGATCTTTGGCGGAACTCGACTCCAAGTCCCAGGCCGCCCCAAACACATCGTCGGGAAGAGCGCGGTCTTGCGAAGACGATTCATAATCCTCAGCCCGGCCAGTGTTGCGACATCAAGCAGGGGCCGGGTGCCCGGATCTCAGCTCTACGTCAACTTGGCTTTCACTGCAAAGGGAAAACCGGAGGTCGCTGCCGCGCTCGAAGTGGGAAAACTGCTTGCATAGGGCACCTGTCAGACTCGAATATGTCTGTCTGCAAGCACGCTCCGTAACGTCCCAAATGGCAACCGAAAGTGCGGGCCTGACTTGTTTCGGCTTCGGTGCTGGAGGCTGTACTCCCTGCCAACACAGGTCTTCCCACTGCCGTCATCTGAAACATCGAAACATGTGCAATGTACTGGCTCGCACAATGATCCGGCAAAGCATCTGTTTGTCGGGTTGCACAAAAATGCAACATATTGATTGGACTATACAAAAAGGACTCAGAGGCAGTGCCAAGAGACACCACACTCAGCCTGTATGATCCTGTATGCATGGTGTGTATATGCACATGTGTATGTACGTGACAACGTACCGCATGTATGTATGTATCTGTCTGTTTATGGAATGTATCGAGAAAAAGATCTCTATACCATGCAATCCTACTGCGCATGTATGTAGAGCATATGCGGAAGAAACAAGCAGACAGCTCATTTCAATCGAAATACATTGACAAGTACGAAAAATGTCCACAAGGTGTTGTATCAATACCACAGGAAACAGCGAGCCAAGTCACCCTAGGCGAAGTAGTTCACGACAACACTGTAAAGATCAGAAGGCCTAATCTCAAAGTATAAACAATAAATGCATGCACAAAAAATGCAAAAAGATACTCAAAGAATTGTGTGAACGAACGCACCCACACATGTATATAGGCGCACCTATCCAAAACATTTGCATGGATTCCATTGGGCCGAGCTCCGAACCACCGGGACTGTGACATTGGAGTCCTCACGTATCAGCCATCTACTTGTATAACAAATCACCGTGCTCCCGTCCGGATCTTGCCGAAAGACAGGAAAGGCAATCACAGCAGTACTGTAACAGTATGTGTTTATATATAGTTATATATATATATATATATGTATACATGTGTGTGTGTATGTGTAGATTCATAAACACATGTTACTGCAGACACACACACACACATCTACACAGTTTTGAACAGTTTTGTATATATATTTTGTATATATACACATATATACATATATTGTCAAGCATTTGGTGTTCCCAGCCCCCCCCAATGGTATGGTCTGGTACGGGGTAGGGGGGGTGGGGACTGGCGTGTGCGGAGAGGGGTGGGGGCCGTTGGAGCTGCAGCTGGAGGGACGGCCAGCCAGGCGTCACCTACGCAAGCCATAAATCCCGAAAACGCAGCGGTAGCGCCTGCTCCTGCTTTTGTCAACCTTAACTTAAACTTCAAACCGTACAACCAACCCTAAACCCCGCCTAAATGCAGGCTCTAAGCCTAAACCAGAACATAAACTGTCAACCCTAGCGAACCTACACCCCAAACCCAAAACTCAAAAGCTTAAGCTTGACCTAAAACCCCACAGCCACCCCACAAAATGAAAGAGGGAACCCACACTCCATCCCACAGGAGGGGGAGGGGGGGAGGGCGTGACCATATAAATACATGTATACACACATATATATATATATATACACAAATACATGTATCTTTTAGCACTCGCTCTAGGCAAAGCAGGCGAGGTGTTGGGTGAACACAGTGTCTGGAGAGAGACAGGCGCATTGACCCCAACGCACGTTAGCATACAACAGCTTCCAGGACTACATGTATACATACATACATATATATATATATATACATAAATACATGCATACAGAGTTGTGTAAATACATAAATATGTATGTATATACATGTACATGTATATGTACAAACAGCGTCACCCTACAGGCCAAATATATGTAATTTGGTGAAACCTCGTAAAAAAACTGAATTCCGACGCACTCTGTATACATCCATCCATCCATGCATGCAAGCAAGCAAGCATGAATGTAATCCGCCGAGGCCAAAGGCCTCTGGCGTCTTGATGGTTAATACTAACCAACCCTCTACCTAATCCTTCTCCCTCCAGCCCAAATGCAAACTTCCACCCGTTTTTAGCGACTGTTTTCGACCCCCTTGCCCGGCTTCCGTCCTTTTTTGCTGCCGAATTTGCCTCCCCCCCTCCTGCACCCTCCCGGGCCCTCCTTCCTGCCTTCCCTTCCCTGGCCCTGCCCCCCCGCCCCTCCCCTCCCCCCCCCCTCCCCCCCCCCCCCCCCCCCTGTGCCGATACACCCACAAGGAATACTCCTTGTTAGGAGGTGTATGACCAGTTATTCCCTAAGGATCAAAGGGCAGCGCCCTGCACACGGACAGTAGTTGTTTTGTCTTGCTACGCAAGGAGAGCTTGTCTTGTCTCAATATGGTAAAACCACTGTGAGCCAATGGGCAGCGGAATGTATATGTATGAGCATGCAGCCATTGCTGTAGGTACCTGTTAGAGCTACCCCTTTAGAGGTTTATGGTTTCAAACAGACACTAATTTTCTTTTACCGGAAGCATGGCCGCACATTCACACATATACTATTATGCCCACTGTCACAGTTGCGGAGTCTGGACTCATGATGAAAACAGCATATTATTTAAGCTAGGTATAGCACTGAAGTACACTGCTGAGGACACTCCTTTTGCACACACTCATGCATGTTGGTCAGAGAGATCGTCTGTACAAGATCATGTCTGGTGATATTTTCTACATCGAATTATGCAGCCCTTCACTTTGCTCTTGTTAGAGCTTTGTGAGTCACTGTTGTGAAACTCCGAGATTTTCCTTATCTCAGATTTGGATCCAGGTTTGGATCATAGGCTCGAGCGTAGACGTTCGGATGTGGCTCATCCGGGTCTGAGTGATCTTCTTCGGAACTTGAATAAATTCCGAGTAGTCTGTTCTCAGCCCTGGTGAAGGCGGCGTCTGCAGTATCATATCCATGGTTGGATGTTGTCGCCTTTGGCTCGGCCTTTGGCGCAGCTTGTGAGCTGACTGGAGTTGCCTTGGCTTTAGCCGGTTGTGGCTGCTTAGCCTTTGCCCGTTCAGCCCTTCTTCTTTCAAGCTGTCCGTCTGAGGACGCCCATGATCTTTCACTTTCATCTCCTGAAGGAGATAAGGCGTGGGCATAAAGGCTATTCCAGTACTGTGCTGCAGAAGGAGTTAGGACTTCTTCATTGTCAGATTCTGACTGGTCTTCCTCAGAGCTTTGGTCGTCAAAGAGTGTCTCGAGGACATTTTTGAGATTGTTATTTCTTCGCTCTATCTCTAGTGAGGAATGGACCAATTGGTTAAAGACTGTCCTTGAGTCCTTCAGTGCTGTTAGAAGGATTTCCACTCTGGATAGAGTATCTTGGATGGTGTCAAGATGTTCCTTCCTTTCCTCCTTGTCTCTCTGGATAGAGCTTCGCAATGATTGTGCGATTCTGAGGAGGTCTGTGTATTTCGTAAGAGGCATAGTTACCGTTTGATTGTCATGTATGACAGTTGTTTCGTCGCCGCTTAAGTTCCTGAATAGGACTTCCACGACTGGTAGAAACTCCGTGCTCCACGGTTCCTCTTCATCATATGTTTCTACGTGCTGTAGCACGCGTTGTGTAAACTGATCGGCTGCTTCTACCGTTGCATCGATAGAGCTGACGTGTCTTGCTGCCATGTTTCGGCACGTAATGTTAATTGCCTGGCCTTGATTGGCTTCGTTAAGTGCAGCGTCTGCATAGGTGCAGAGTCCACTGTTGTGGGCTTCTCTGGCTGCCTTTCGTTGAATGCGCCGATTTTGACCTCCTCTTCTGGTAGGACCTTTTGGTCTCGGAGGATCTGAAGGTACTGTTCCTTTCGCCTTTGGCGGAGGACTCTTAGGTGGAGGTGACATGTTTGCCTTGTTAGGCACTGGTGGCATTGCCTTGGGCGCTGACGACGATGCGGCACTTGAGAGTGCAGATGTACCTTTGGCTTTTGCCGAGGATCCCTTGGGGATCGATGTATAGGTAATCTGCATGGCTTCTTCGGCCATTTGTGCATGCAATGCATCTTTGAATAATTGCGTCATATGAGGAGTGGTACTTGCATCATCGTAGGTCTGGAAGCGCTCAATGTCTCTTTCGGTGCCACGTGGACGTGTATCACCTCTTTGAAAAGGATCGTTCCTGCGAATCTCCGCAACTTGTACTGCATGGAGGCAGTTTTTGCACAGCACCTTCCTGCAAACATCTCTTGCTTGCTTGAGCTGGTAACAGCTGTCTGAGAGATGGTAGACTTCGCTTCGGGAAGTATGCCAGATAGGTCGCAGATCAGTTGTTTCTCCGGAATTGACCCTGTTGGGTCCTAAAGGTTCACGCGTCTGCGGTTCATCCTCGGGTTCGAGGAATGGAACTCTTTGGTTCGCTGCTGCTTTTGATTTTGGTTGTTGGCGCTCCATACATCTGATAGGAGGCCTGGTAATCTGCTTCCACATCCAGTGTAAGCCCATTAGCAGCAGAAACACATTCCACGCGATGCTGAAGACGGAGAAGTCCTGCTCACTGGTTAGTGAGTTTGGAAGTGAAGTTTCATCAGTCTTGATAGACTCTGCGTTCGCTCCACCTTGGTTGCGGTGTCCGAACCAGCCCGACAACCCCGCTGCTGTAGCAGCTGTTCTGAGTGCCTTGCCGCTCGGAGCAGACGGTGGACGCGATGCCTTCCTTCTTCTCCTCCGGCTGGAGGATTCGTCCTCTTGTTCCTCTTCATCTCTCTGAGCAGACATCAAGTTTGATGTTTCTCTTTCGTGTTCTTCGATGTCACTTTTTGTTGGTGACGGTTCCTCTTCTAGTCCATCCAGCTCTTCCAAAGACATGTTGAGCTTGTCAACAATATTGGTTCTTTGAGGCCTGGACCTTGATCTTGGTAGATCTTGTTGTGAAGAGGACGATGATTCCTGGTTCCTTCTTGGAGGAGGACCTTCAGGCTCGCTGGGACGTTCAGGCTGTGGCCATTCCCAGAATCTTCCGTATCTGTGATGGCTACCTGATGGTTGCGATCTGTCGTACCAGCTGTTGCCGGATGAGTAAACGAATGAATCTTTGTAACCCCAGTATTCAGCATTACGCTGCTTGAAAGCCTTTCGCTTGTCAGCGATCTTCTGAACCTGGGCATCTGACCGGTTGTGTTTCCCTTTTGTAAGGATTGGTTGTATCGTGAAGCCCAAAGGGCTGTGCCAATCTTTGTCAGAGGGACTCAACCATAGGTCAAGGTTAGAAAAAGTTGAATAGTACTGCTTGACTGAGACAAACAGACGGATATC